GTTAAAACGAGATGCCGGTGTTATTTTTCCTTTTTTGGCGCCATCTTTAAACGCCATGTGTTATTTTTCCTTTTTATCCATTTAGACGACAATGTCCATCTCTATCTGTTAAAACGAGATGCCGGTGTTATTTTCCTTTTTTGGCGCCATTTAGACGACAATGTATCCATCGCCCCTGTCGATCTGTTAAAACGAGATGCCGGTGTTATTTTTCCTTTTGGCGCCATTTAGACGACAATGTATCCATCGTCCTGTCTATCTGTTAAAACGGATGCGGTGTTGTTTTTCCTTTTTGGCGCCATTTAGACGACAATGTATCCATCGCCCCTGTCTATCTGTTAAAACGAGATGCCGGTGTTTTTTTCCTTTTGGCGCCATTTAGACGACAATGTATCCATCGCCCCTGTCGATCTGTTAAAACGAGATGCCGGTGTTGTTTTCCTTTTTGGCGCCATTTAGACGACAATGTATCCATCGTCCCCTGTCTATCTGTTAAAACGAGATGCCGGTGTTATTTTTCCTTTTGGTGCCATTTAGACGACAATGTATCCATCGCCCCTGTCTATCTGTTAAAACGAGATGCCGGTGTTATTTTCCTTTTTGGGCCGCCATTTCCATCGCCCCTGTCTATCTGTTAAAACGAGATGCCGGTGTTATCCTTTTCGCCCCAATTTATAGACGCCCCCCTGTCGATCTGTTAAAACGAGATGCCGGTGTTGTTTTTCCTTTTGGCGCCATTTAGACGACAATTTTTCCATCTTTTTTGGCGCCATTTGGCGCCAGACGACAATGTATCCATCGCCCCCTGTCTATCTGTTAAAACGAGATGCCGGTGTTGTTTTCCATTTTTTGGTGCCATTTAGACGACAATGTATCCATCGCCCCCTGTCTATCTGTTAAAAACGAGATGCGGTGTTATTTTCCTTTTTGGTGCGCCATTTAGACGACAATGTATCCATCGCCCCCTGTCTATCTGTTAAAACGAGATGCCGGTGTTGTTTTCCTTTTTGGTGCCATTTAGACGACAATGTATCCATCGTCCCCTGTCTATCTGTTAAAACGAGATGCCGGTGTTATTTTCCTTTTTGGCGCCATTTAGACGACAATGTATCCATCGTCCCCTGTCTATCTGTTAAAACGAGATGCCGGTGTTGTTTTCCTTTTTGGTGCCATTTAGATCGACAATTTTTTTATCCATCGCCCCTGTCTATCTGTTAAAACGAGATGCCGGTGTTATTTTTTTTTTTTTGGCGCCATTTAGACGACAATGTATCCATCGTCCCCTGTCTATCTGTTAAAACGAGATGCCGGTGTTTTTTTCCTTTTTGGCGCCATTTAGACGACAATGTATCCATCGTCCCCTGTCTATCTGTTAAAACGAGATGCCGGTGTTGTTTTCTTTTTTGGCGCCATTTTAGACGACAATGTATCCATCGTCCTGTCTATCTGTTAAAACGAGATGCCGGTGTTATTTTTCCTTTTGGCCATTTAGACGACAATGTATCCATCGCCCCCTGTCTATCTGTTAAAACGAGATGCCGGTGTTATTTTTCCTTTTGGCGCCATTTAGACGACAATGTATCCATCGCCCCCTGTCTATCTGTTAAAACGAGATGCCGGTGTTATTTTTCCTTTTTGGCGCCATTTTAGACGACAATGTATCCATCGCCCCCTGTCTATCTGTTAAAACGAGATGCCGGTGTTGTTTTCCTTTTTGACGCCATTTAGACGACAATGTATCCATCGCCCCCTGTCTATCTGTTAAAACGAGATGCCGGTGTTATTTTCCTTTTTGGCGCCATTTAGACGACAATGTATCCATCGTCCCCTGTCTATCTGTTAAAACGAGATGCCGGTGTTGTTTTCCTTTTTGGCGCCATTTAGACGACAATGTATCCATCGCCCCCTGTCTATCTGTTAAAACGAGATGCCGGTGTTGTTTTCCTTTTTGGCGCCATTTAGACGACAATGTATCCATCGTCCCCTGTCTATCTGTTAAAACGAGATGCCGGTGTTATTTTCCTTTTTGGCGCCATTTAGACGACAATGTATCCATCGCCCCCTGTCTATCTGTTAAAACGAGATGCCGGTGTTTTTTTCCTTTTTGGTGCCATTTAGACGACAATGTATCCATCGCCCCCTGTCTATCTGTTAAAACGAGATGCCGGTGTTGTTTTTCTTTTTTTGACGCCATCCATCCCCCTGTCGATCTGTTAAAACGACAATATCCATCGTCCCCATCGTCTATCTGTTAAAACGAGATGCCGGTGTTTTTTTCCTTTTTGGCGCCATTTAGACGACAATGTATCCATCGCCCCTGTCTATCTGTTAAAACGAGATGCCGGTGTTATTTTTCTTTTTTGGTGCCATTTAGACGACAATTTATCCCTCGCCACCTGTCTATCTGTTAAAACGAGATGCCGGTGTTATTTTCCTTTTTGACGCCATTTAGACGACAATGTATCCATCGCCCCCTGTCTATCTGTTAAAACGAGATGCCGGTGTTATTTTCCTTTTTGACGCCATTTAGACGACAATGTATCCATCGCCCCCTGTCTATCTGTTAAAACGAGATGCCGGTGTTATTTTCCTTTTTGGCGCCATTTAGACGACAATGTCCATCGCCCCGTCTATCCCCCCGACAATGCCAGGTGTTATTTTGTCTATCCCCCTGTCTATCTGTTAAACGAGGATGCCGGTGTTATTTTCCTTTTGGACGCCATTTAGACGACAATGTATCCATCGCCCCTGTCTATCTGTTAAAACGAGATGCCGGTGTTATTTTTTTTGGTGCCATTTAGACGACAATTATCCATCGCCCCTGTCTATCTGTTAAAACGAGATGCCGGTGTTTTTTTTCCTTTTTGACGCCATTTAGACGACAATTCATCCCTCGCCCCTGTCTATCTGTTAAAACGAGATGCCGGTGTTATTTTCCTTTTGACGCCATTTAGACGACAATTTATCCATCGCCCCTGTCTATCTGTTAAAACGAGATGCCGGTGTTATTTTCCTTTTTGGCGCCATTTAGACGACAATTTATCCATCGCCCCTGTCTATCTGTTAAAACGAGATGCCGGTGTTGTTTTCCTTTTTGGCGCCATTTAGACGACAATTTATCCATCGCCCCCTGTCTATCTGTTAAAACGAGATGCCGGTGTTGTTTTCCTTTTTGGTGCCATTTAGACGACAATTTATCCATCGCCCCCTGTCGATCTGTTAAAACGAGATGCCGGTGTTGTTTTCCTTTTTGACGCCATTTAGACGACAATTTATCCATCGCCCCCTGTCTATCTGTTAAAACGAGATGCCGGTGTTATTTTCCATTTGACGCCATTTAGACGACAATTTATCCATCGACCCCTGTCTATCTGTTAAAACGAGATGCCGGTGTTGTTTTCTTTTTTGGCGCCATTTAGACGACAATTTATCCATCGCCCCTGTCTATCTGTTAAAACGAGATGCCGGTGTTATTTTTCCTTTTTTTTTGGCGCCATTTAGACGACAATTTATCCATCGCCCCTGTCTATCTGTTAAAACGAGATGCCGGTGTTGTTTTAAATTTTGACGAGATGCGCCATTTAGACGACAATTTATCCATCGCCCCTGTCTATCTGTTAAAACGAGATGCCGGTGTTTTCCCTTTTGGCGCCATTTAGACGACAATTTATCCATCGCCCCTGTCTATCTGTTAAAACGAGATGCCGGTGTTATTTTCCTTTTTGACGCCATTTAGACGACAATGTATCCATCGCCCCTGTCTATCTGTTAAAACGAGATGCCGGTGTTTTTCCCTTTTGCCGCCATTTAGACGATCAATTTATCCCTCGCCCCTGTCTATCTGTTAAAACGAGATGCCGGTGTTGTTTTCCTTTTGACGCCATTTAGACGACAATTTATCCATCGCCCCTGTCTATCTGTTAAAACGAGATGCCGGTGTTGTTTTTCCTTTTTGGCGCCATTTAGACGACAATTATCCATCGCCCCTGTCTATCTGTTAAAACGAGATGCCGGTGTTTTTGGAGTTTTTGGCGCCATTTAGACGACAATTTATCCATCGCCCCCTGTCTATCTGTTAAAACGAGATTTTTGTGTTGTTTGTCCTTTTTGTTTGCCATTTGATTTTTTTTCGCCCCTGTCTATCTGTTAAAATAATTTGCCGGTGTTGTTTTCCTTTTTGGCGCCATTTGGGCGACGTCAACCCCTGTCTATCTGTTAAATATTTTTTGTTGGGCGCCATCTGTTAAAACTGTTAAAAGATGCCGTTTGTTTTTTTCCTTTTTTCCATTTAGACGACAATTTATCCCCTTCCCCTGTCTATCCAAAAAAAAGAAGATGCCGGTGTTGTTTCCTTTTTGGACGCAATTTAGACGACAATTTTTCCTTCGCCCTTGTCCATTTTCAAACGTGATGCCGGTGTTTTTCCAGACGACCAGCCAAGGGACGACAGGGACCATCCGGGGGTGTCTATCTGTTAAAAAATCGATGTTATTTTCCTTTTTTGGCGCCATTTGGCGACATTTTATCCATCCTGTTTCCATTCCAAAGATATTTTTTGTTTGTTTTGTTTTTTGTTTTTTTTTGTTTTTTGATTTTTCAGCTTTTTGATGTCAAGACTTTTGTAATTGATAATCAAATCTCAGTATAAGGAAAACGCCGATTTGTATCAAGATCCTTCCCGACCCTAGCAAAAAAAAAGTTTAGTTCACAATGTCGATCCGACTCAGTAAGTTTTCAGACGAGATGACAAGGGCTCTTCCTAGGGATGAAATACGAAAATGATGTAAACTTCAGTATTGGGGCGGTCACTCTGTTTATAACAGGACTTACGGATACATCTGGGACTTTTGTTGGTTCAAATCTCATCATGTTCAAATACCGGTTCCCGTTAAGTTAACAACGTCGATCCTGGTCAGTAACTAGATGGGTGACTTCTCAGGAATATCATGTATGTAAGCTTAGATTTGCGGCTGGTATGATAGAGTTACAGCTAGATCACGTTCAAACAGCGTTTCCCGTAAGATCACCGAAGTTAAGCAACGTCGATCCTGGTCAGTAACTAGATGGGTGACTTCTCGGGAATATCATGTGCTGTAAGCTTAGATTTGCGGCTGGTATGATAGAGTTACAGCTAGATCACGTTCAAACAGCGTTTCCCGTAAGATCACCGAAGTTAAGCAACGTCGATCCTGGTCAGATGGGTAACTTCTCAGGAAGATGGGTGCTGTACTTCTCATTTGTGGCTGGAATATCATCACGTTGCGTTTATAAGCTAGAACGTCGATTGGTCAGTGATGGGTATAATGCGTGCTATAAACTAGAACAACATAATGCGCTTCAAACATCGGTTTCCGTATGATCATCGAAGTTAAGCAGCGTCGATCCTGGGCAGTAACTAGATGGGTAACCAACTTGTGAATGCCAGGTGTTGTAAGCTTGGATGTGTTGGTACTGCAATGTGTAAAGTTTCGAAATTGTTGAGCGGAGTTCAAATTCCATTCGAGTTCGTTATATACACTAACGCGCCAATACCACTTAGAAATGTATGAATATATATATATTCCCCCCGCTAAGGGTTAATTAGTAAAATTTGTATCAATAAATTATTATTATCTTCAAAGTTTTCTTTCAATATATATAAAAAAAATCCGGATTTAAATAACTCGCAAAAGGTTGATAAACAGTAAAAAATAATCAATCAACTGTTGTTTCAGTATTATTAAATAGATGTTTCAGATTTTATAGATACAGTCTGTATATGGGCGATCGTGGCTCACTACTCTTTCCTATTCTTTGTAGCGATTTGAAATGGTTTTTCTTATGTTATCTCTCGGATATCATTACATCTGTCTTATTTTGCCCCGTGATTGTCTAATTCTCCAAACCTACTTTCCTCGTTATGGGTCCCAGTAATTTGAACAGTTTATTTCCGGGTCAAAGTAGTTTTTGAAAATCCCTTGTTTTTGAAACTACTACGACAAGATATTAGAATAATCTAGAATATATATTTTGTGACGTACGGTGTCCGTTAATAATTAAGTATAACTCAAGACTTTAATGTTAGGATAAGACATTATTTAATTACAACCGCAAATAAATACTTAACAAGAATGAAGAAGTAAGTCAACCAAAAATAATTAACCATTTCAGTGAATACCTTGTTAGTAGCCCGGCTCGGCTTAACATCCGGTAAATCTTAAATCAAAACCCAAATCATCGATGCACAATAAGTCACACTAATTCGACTGGATAGTTCCACTCAATAATCACTACAGTCAGTAGCCTGACACCGCAATTTATACCCCGGGCAGAAAACATGTATTCATCGCTGACGAAACTTTAATAAAACGAAACCTGTTAGAGTAAAATGCTTCCTTCCTGTTCTTTATCCTTTCATTTTATCTATAATTGCAATCCTTTTTCGATGTGTCTGTACACATCGAAACATGACTGCATTTATGTAGTGGGTTTATATTAATGTGTCTTTGAATTTATGTTTGATTCGTTCGTATTTCATTCATATATATATATATATATATATATATATATATATATATACGATTAATATAGATATAAAATTTGTCACATTTATATTAGCTTCAGTATCCCGAATCTAGACATTCGAATAATCACACTGCCGATTTATTTTCTTGTTTTTGTTTTATATTTCGTTGAAAAATATTGAAACTTTTGAAGGCTCTTTTCACAACATTGTCAAATAAAATTAATTTTATATATATATATATATATATATATATATATATATATATATATATATTTACATAAGAATCACAATTGTAAAATGAAATAGAAATTTTTTGTTGTTTACAAGGCAAAATTTAAAAAAGGGAGGTGGTTTCTGGCTAATGGTCTTTTCTCTTTTTATACTAAGAGTTTGTTTTTTATTTTTCATGTCGAAGATATAGTAAAATTCTTATTCAATTTGTCTTATCCACAGACTTATTCTGGTAAATTTTATAAACACACACACACACACACACACACACACACACACACACACACACACACACACATATATACATATATATATATATATATATTCATATATATATCATATCATATCTATATATATATTATCATATATATCTATCTATCTATCTATCTATCTATCTATCTATCTATCTATCTATCTATCTATCACAATCCCTTCGTATCTATCTATGTCAGTCCGTTCATATCTATCTATCTATCTATCTATCTATATATCTATCTCAGTCTGTTCATATCAATCTGTCTGTCTCATATCTCGTCTAGTTCTTATTTTTAGTACTGCTCGCTCTGTAGGTTACCCGGATCGATATATTCAGATAATTCCAAACTGAGCCCTTTTATTTAATCTACGATTGGCAGACTGTTTTCGTTCCATTTAATGTCTCAGGATATCTCGTCTTGCCGTTCTCATTATTCCAATTTCTCATTTATTGCTTTCCTTTTTTTTACCCGGATCGATTTATTCATTGAATTCCAAACGATGTCATCATCTTTATTTAATCTACGGTGGCAGACTGTTCTCGTTCCATTGCCCATGTCTCAGGATATCTCGTCTAGTTCTAATTTTTTAGAACTGATCATTTATTTATCGCCCTTTAAAATTTATAGGATGAATATATGCCCTAATTAAACTGATTTTTATTTAATTTAATATAAATTTAGACTATAATTTCGTTCCACTTTTTTTCGAAACGGGGAAAAAAATTTTTTTTGTAACTTCTCAATTATTTTCGTCCCTGTAGGTTTTAATTTAAACGATTATATTCAAGGACAAGGCAGTTTATATAACCCTTTATTTAATATACGAAAGCAGACTATATAGTTCCATAAATACTTTAAGATATATCCGTTTTTAATTCTCATTTTTTTATCATTGAAAACCGTCTTTATAAACACTGACTTGCCGCGGCTCAGCAATTTCTGTGGATTTAATATAGGTTGTTATTCGGACAATAATAATTTTGGTGTTTATTTATTCTGATGTTCAATGTATTTTCAAATCTTATTTTAGATTTTGAAGTGTAAAAAAATTTAAACACTTTTCATGTTATATTACCCAAAAAACATTTAATGCCAAGGGACGTCATGGAATTTAAAGGATGAAAAGAGATGCCTAAATAAGACTTAGAATTTTTGGATTGCACAAGCAAAAAACGGAAAAGAGTTCCACTAGCAAATGGATGGTGGTGTTTTGGTAGTTTGAACTTATGGTTGCATCGGACAATTTTAATTAAAATGGTGTTTATAAAATTACCTGTTAAGTAAGGAAATGTAATCAAATAATTTAAACATGGCATCAGGGTAAAAATTGTCAGAGCAAATTATGACGGATTTCTGAAGAATTTATAGAAAACAACAGAACGCATCAAAAGTCCAAAGGGGAAAAAATGTTGAATTTTAGATGCCTGGTCAACGTCCTGAAGGGACACAGCATTAGAAGAAGAAGAATGAGTTTGAGTAAATGGATGGCAGACCAAGGTTTAGGAGAGATAACAACAAAACTAAAATTTATTAAGACCTACATAGGTGAGGAAATTTTGGAGAGCCATGATCATTCAACGTCCTGAAAGATTTTTTATCACATAGAAAAAGAATGAGTTTGAGTAAATGGATGATTAAGGTTTAGGACCATAAAAAAAAGACAAAATTTATTAAGAGCTACAAAGGAAATTTAAATTGTTCAATAAGCCATGATCGTACCAACGTCCTGTCCTTTTTTTTAGAAAGCACATGGAAAAACAAAAGAAAAAGAATGAGTTTGAGTAAATGGATGACGGAACAAGGTTTAGGAGAGATTACAAGCGTTTTACGAAATGTATTAAGAGCTACATAGGATATTTTCTTTGTGGAATAATGATCGCCAATGTCCTGAAGGGACACGTATTATAGAAGAAGAAAAAAAGTAAAACAAGAAGAAGAAGAAGAAGAAGAAGAATGAATTTGAGTAAAGGGATCTCCGGAAGAAGGTTTAAGAGAGATAACAAAAAGACAAAATGTATTAAGATCTACAAAGGATAAGAAATTGTGGAGAGCCATGATCCATTCCATTATAGTTCTTCTTTGGATTTTTTCAGGCATCCTGAGATATTAAGCAGGAACACTAGACAAGACATAGCAGAAGTATTCAATATACGGACGGATGGTAGATTTATATATGTGAAAGACGACGGGAAGAATTCTCTGGAACGACACAGTGAACCAAATTTCCTAGCAATTACCAGAATTTGATCAACACGAATGCATATATGCATAGATTTAAATATTGTTTAAATATTTATTAAATAAACCTATGTCTTGAGTAATGATCTAAAAAAGGGGGACTACGAAATGGAAGCTGATTAACAATAATAAAATAATAATTGCCCAGTAAATTCAGAAAGAATTAAGAAACTTTTTTTGTAATTGAAATCAATCCATTTTAAATCTATTTAATTGCTGCCATAAAATAGTCTGGAACTCTTCTGTTTGTCTCAAAGGTTCTTGATAAAATCCAAAGACGGATATGCAATATCATTAAAAATAAAATCTGGCAAAATATCTGAACATCGAAATAGTAAACGTTTATATGCTTCCGTCTGTCTGTTTTGTGAATTGCTTTCACTGTAACTGCGCCAATACAGTGCTATCGATGTTCCCAAACTTATGAATTTAAGCGTTCTTTTAAGATTAAATCAACTCTCACTCTTTCACTGTCGAAAACTGTTAAATGTAGTCCGTCTCTTTTTACTCCATTCATGTAGCGGACCTCTCGTTTGTGGAACTTTGCTCCCCTAATCCTGTTTCATTAATAGCTATAATCTCCAACTATTCAAATTTAATGTCAATCGACGTCTCCAGATGCCTTGATCTATCTCATATCCTTCTCTTCATCCTTTCCTCTATCATTCCTATTTGCTTTTTCTCCAACTCTCTGTAACCCCTTGCGTGCTAGTTTACCATTTATTGGTGAGCTTTTTAAAAAAAAATATATTATAAAATATATTTCAAATAAGTGATGATTCGAAATAAACCACTTCATCTATTTGCAAGAAAAAAGAAAAGAAACGAAATAAATCAAAATTCCAAATTTCAAACGATAGCAAGATC